ATCCCCAAAAACCAGGGAGTCTCTTTGGAAATGGGGTTCCAATTCAAGGGGAAAGGATGGAGGATGTTCCCARCATTTMAAAAAATCTGGTTTTCATMCWTTTCTYATTTTCAGGTTGCTTYTGTGAGACAGTTGGCTGCTCCTYTTGTAAACCTGGATGGGACTGGAATCATTGGGGCAGTAAAGGTAGAAAATAGCCCAAAATTACAGGAATTRAAGGCATAAAGGTGTGARGCACTGTTGTTTATGGTGCATTTGGGAGATTTGCTCATCTGAGTCTGCAGAGGGGCTGAACCTCCCTCCAGGACCTATGGAAGCATTCAAAAATCAGGAATTTATCCCCATTTAGGAGACAGTAGCCTGGCTAAGGTGACTTTTTTGACTCTGCAACCAAAGCAGGGCCCCATTTCCGCAGCTCCTCCGCCCTGACCCCCCCATTTCCGTCCCCTCCTGAGAACAAACATCACCCAAAGCTGTTTTTCCATCCCATAAATGGCTTTGAGGCCCCGGTGGTTGCTGTCCCTYCTGAGAGTGGGGGAGACTGTTGTGGTCAGCAGTGTGAAAGCACAGAGAGGGTGGCACAGGGGCGTCSTGTGGCAGCTGCCTCTGGTGGCCCCAGAGCTGCTGCAGCCAAAGGGACACTGATCCCAGAACAAAAGGGCTCTTCAAAGTGGGAATGTGCCCTTTTGGTGGCCAATTCTTCCCTTCCCCAAATCCAAGACCACCTGAGCCCACCTGAGAAGGAGGGGTTGGCATCTTCCAGCATCTTCCACCTTCCTCTCCTCCTTCASRGAGGCACAGCCCAGGAATGCCAAGTGGAGGGGAAAGTGTGGAATTGGGAATAATTGGAAGATGGAGAAAGAGGAGGCCTCCTCAGCAGGCCAAGAACCTCAAGGCTTCCCAGCCAAGTTTCCCAGGCTRGGAMGAACAAACCCAAGCAAACTGAGGGTGGATCCCCCAGCAGAACCTCTGTGCAGCCCAGCTGAAGCCCTCGCTGGCTGCTCCAGGGTGCATGGGCAGACTGGGAGCACTGGGAARGGTCCCCAGCTTGGGRTGGAGCTGTTGGCTTGTCCCTAGGACTGGATAGGGTACAATGGGATCTGCTACTTCCTCTCAAGGGATGAGAGCACCTGGGATCAGGCTCAGGCTCTGTGCTTCGAGGTCGGGGCATCCCTGGATGAGGAAATGATGAGTGAGGGGCTGCAGGGGGTGTGTGGGGTGGCCAAAGGGAGCTTGGAGGTCTCCTGGGCTGGGCTCGGTGCTCATAGGGCCAGGGGGCAGCCCTGCCCTGGGGCCTGGCAGGGAAGGAGCCCCAGGGTGCAGCAGCAGCCCTGGGTTTGTGTCCCTGCGAGGGGCTGGGGGTGCAGTTCTCACTGCAGCTCCTCTCTTTCTCTCCCAGGAGTTTCTCTTCCCCCACAGTGGGARCGAGGRTCACTGGCTTGGGCTGCRCAGACAGGGCTGGGAGCTGCAGTGRGGGGATGGCAGCAGCTTCAACTCCTCGTGAGTTCTGGGGGGCCAGTCAGGGGCCTGGGGGGGACAGGGGTACATTGTGTGCCCCTCTATGGTGTCAGTGCTGTCTCTGCTGCTCCTTGTACCGTTCCTGTCCTGGGCAATGCAGAGTGTGCATTCTTGGCTGAGAATAAACTCAGCAGTGAGAGCTGCTCAAATTCGCTGCCCTATGTCTGCAGCAGAGCCCAAACTCCCCTTGGATGAGAGGGGACGGAGAAAGACCCTTCTCTGTGCTAGGTATTCTCAGCTTTGTCTCTTTTTCCACAGCACTGAGATGTTCTTCCTCAGCCCCAGGGTCTGCCTTGTACTAATTCTTAGGGTCATTCCAGTGCCTGCTCGGAACGGGGTGAACCTGCAGGGGGAGGGGATKATGTGGAAGCTGATGTGTGGCTGCCTGGGCTGGGGCTGGGGGTTTYTTTCTCATTCTGGAACCATTCCAAGACTCATCCTGCTTCTCTTGCACTACATATTTATACACTAAGCCTACATGTAAATAGACAGATTCACACAGATGTGCATGGATATATGTGGGTATAGATGTAAAACTGGTGCTCCCTCAGCAATGTCACCTGGTTTATAGCAGAGTGGCAAAAATGCCAAAATTGCGATTTTAACCCACAGGGGCCATTTCCTTAAAGATTGAACTCAGTCGTGGGTCAATCTTTTGGGTCCCTACTGCCTCAGAGGATGCTCTGAAATGGCCTTGTGTGACTCACATCAGTATTTATGGTACCAACGTTGCTGCTATCGTTGTATTCTTTATACTGTTATAAGTATTTTATTAAATGTTTGTGAAGTGCCNCGTGTCCCCACGGCCGCACTCACACGAGCAGCCCAGCGCCACCACGGCCACTCCGAGCAGGAGATTCCCGGTCCAGCCGGCCCCGAGCGCCGCGCGGTGCCACCGAGGGCAGCCCGGAGCTGCGGGGACAGAGGGGACAGGAGATCGCCCGGTCCCACCCCTGAGATTTGGGCTGTATTGTCCCCAGAAGCAGCTCAGAGCCCGGAAGCCCCCAGGGATCAAAGGTTCATGGGTTTTTCCCAGTGTAATTACTCGGTGGCAGCAATTAAAGTGCTTCCTTAGTGGTTGGATTTTTTGATCTTCGAGATCTTTTCCAACCTAGATGGTTCCCATTCCTCTGCCGTGTTTTCTCCACATGGAAACCAAAGCTGGAGCCAGCAGGAAAAAAGCACAAGGCACCAGGAACAGCGAAAAAGGAACAAAGCAAGAACCCCCCAAAACACAGAGAAGACAGACGAGGAACATCATCGGGATACCTAAAGGCACCAGCAGCCCTTCAGCAACCCAGGTCTCCTTTGAGCTGCCGAATTGGGGCATATTTGGAGCTTTTGCTCTGAGCACAGACCCTTTGAAAGAACCAGCCCCTGAAATCGCACTTGGTGTGGAGTTCGCTTTTTCCAGTTCATCCCCTCCTTTGGAATGAGGTCCAAAGGGCCACACTGGGGGAAGTCAGGGCAGAAAAGTCATCCAGCAAATCCAGATTTGACCCCAACAGGGCTGGAGCAGCAGCATTGGGGAGGAGGAAGGTGAAGCAGTGCCTGAAGAAATTCAAACTCAAAAGCACCACCGGGATCCCACTCCCATCCCTGCCAGTTCCTGTCCCCCACCCATCTGGGGGTCCCCAGAGAACCCGACCCCCTGGGACCTGCACCCTGCACCCTCCAATTTCAAGCCTGTTTTGCCCGTGCTGATGTGTGGTGAGGGATCTCTCCTGGTCCTTAACTCATGAACCCTTGGTTCAATATTCTCTCCCATGTGTAGCTCTGGAAGTGAGTGAGAGAACAGCTTTGGTGGGTGCCAGGCATTGGGCCAGCATCACTGCACTGCAATGGTGACAATGGGTGGGTCAATGACTCATCCTGGTTCCTCTCAGTAGGACAGAGGTGGCTGCCATGTCTCTGGGACTGTGAGGGAAAATTTGCATTGCCTGAGGTTTCTGTCCACAAAGACCTTGTGTGGCACTCTGCTATGGTGCCACTGTTGCTTTTATCTTCCTTATTATTTTCTGTTTTGCACTGAATGCTTCTGAAGTGTCCCCATTGTCCCTCGTGTCCCCTGGGCACCGGCAGCCCTGTCCCTTCCCCTGCTCCCCTTCCCTCGTTCCATCCCGGYTGRAGGAGCCYYGGAGCTGCCGTGRGGGCSGTGGGGCTGCCCCGGGGGCTGCGCCCCGAGCCGGGGCCCCTTCCCAGTGCTCCCAGTCTGCCCGTGCACCCTGGAGCAGCCAGCGAGGCTTCAGCTGGGCCGGCACAGAGGCGCTGCTGGGGGTGCCACCTCAGATTAGTTTGTTGTGTTCTTCCCGGTCTGGGGAAAAATGATTTTTGGAGTTTCCTGCCAGAAATCTCTCCCCTCCTGCACTCAGCCAAAGGTATTTAGGGCAGTTTTCCCTTTTGGGGGCAAATAAAAGCAGTACACTGAGCCTCGGCAGGACTGGGCAGCCCTGCACCCCCTGATCCCGTGCTGCCAAACAACGATTAATTAGCCTGATAAATTGCTCCTAATTAGCGGGTAAGAGAAGTGAGGCTGAGYCGGAGCCACCCAACACACAGGGCTGGGTACGCCGGGCCGGGAGCTCCGGAGAACTTTGTTCCTATTTTCAGATCAATCCCGATTTCAGGGCAGTTCCTCATCTCCGGCTTTCCCCTCACACAGCGCGGGGGCGGGGCCTGAGAGCGCGGGGCGGGGCTGTGCCGGGTGCGGAGCCCGCCGCTCKCTTCGATTGGCTGATCCTGCYGTCACTCTYCATTCTCGCACGCTGATTGGTCARAGCGGGGAAAAGCACGMCCCCTTCCCACCGCCAGRGCGCCCCTCGTGCAGCAGCGCCGCCATTCCCGGAGCGTTTGTGGGGGMTCGGGAGCGGCGGCGGCGGAGCTCGGAGGCGCTCCCAGTGCAGGTGGGAGCCGCGCTCGGTTATGCCGGTCTCGGGACTCAGTGCGAGCGGGGGCCGTGGGGTGGGGGAGTGTGGGGTGTGTGTGTTCAGGAGGGTTCGTTCTCCGTGTCCCTCCCGTATTCGCGGGAGCGGCTGCCCGCGGTCTCCTTCCCGCTGATGCCTCGGCAGGAGCCGGTGCCGGAGCAGCGCTGGCTCGTCCCGGTTTCTCTCCGTAGGGCGGAGGTGGCTTCCGTGTCTCCGGAACTGTGCGGGAAAATTTGCGTCGCCCGAGGTTTCTGTCCACAAAGGAGACAGAGGAGTCCTGTAAAATTGACTTTATTCATAAACAGAGGGAGAGGCCATGGGATATTTCCCGTGGGATGTCTCCTTTTTATCCTCATTTTCCCGGCCGCATCTCCCTTTCTTCCCATTGGCTGAGGTACTTGGAACGTACAGACTTCCCGTACAGATTCGCCTGCTGCATGTCCCTCTTAATATGCATCCCTCTCTTTTGTATAGCAAACGATATTCAYGGCTCTGTTAAGTCTTCATTCTTCTCGAAGTTCAGAAATTGAGCAGGACCTTGACTGAGCAGTTTTAGTTAGTATGAAATTGATGCTTTCTCCCTTGCTTAGCTGCAAGTCCCCGGCTCTATCTCCAAGCAGGTTCACACTCTCTGTAAAAACATGTGCATCYTATTCCTTTCAATCCCTCCTCATTTTCTTATTTTCTCAATACCTGTCTTTACAAACTTTAATTGCCATTGCCTAATCACTTCTTCCTGGGTCTTCTTCCGTTTTGGGATTATTCTGTGACCTCATTCTGTGTCCTTTTGCAGCCATTTCTGGATCAGGAGGCCTGGCTGCCACCTGCATCCCCTTGGTCACCTGCTGAATGAGCTGCACTCAGCAAGGTGCCCTGCATGGTGAAAAGATCAGAGTTGCTGTAGCACATCAGAGGGGAAACAGCATTTGTTTAACCAATTGTCCACCAAGTAACCATAAAAATGTGTCAAATTCCCATCCTCCCCATGCTTGTATGAGTACATGAACTATTTTTTATTTCCTTTGTTACCTGCTCCACCACTTTTCTGTTGTCATCTATTTGCAAACAGGAGTTTGAATAATTTAATTTTCCACAGACTCCTCTTCCCTCTGCTCATAAATAATCTGATATCATCGCATGGTGAAATGTTGCATTCCTCATTTGAGTGATTTGGTCATCAAGATCAGGAGCTGGAGTTGTCTGGTTGGTTATTATTTTGAGGACAGTTTGTTATCTAATTATCCAGTTTAAGTTCTAAATGGGTTCTCTGTTACCTGGTATGAATTCATTAGAGTTCCAAGGGGCTGGTCCATGGTGTTACAGTACTGCTTCTGGTGGCTGTGCATGTTTTCCCCATTTYTGGGTWCTCCTTCCAGCCAARGATGCACCAATTGACTGCTTTTCTCTGATTAAATCATCATATACTTGGATTCCCAACTGATTTGTCTGAACTTGTGGTAGCAAAAAGAGCAGTGGTTTAATGAATCCTATATAACCTATCCCTGACCAATTTGGAGGCAACTTTTGATAGGCATGTTGTCCACAGATCCRGTAATGATTTTTTAGGGCCCAGCTTCTATCAGGAACGGACCACTCCAGGTCCACTTTTCTTGGGGTTGCTGATAATATAATGTGTTCCCAGGCTCTGTAAGCCCTCCCTGCAGGGCTCCCTGGGAAAGTGCAATGCCATTGAGACAGTAAGTGCAGTTCTAGGCCCCCCATGTTTGACTGCCAGACACAGTTACATCCCCACTGTGTTCCTTTCCATTTGTGTGATTGGTTCCAGAGCAAAATATTTGAAAATAGGTTTTGGATTCCATTTTAATGTTGCCATGCCCTAGAGACTTCCTGTCTTCCTGTATAGGCTTCAGTAGCAGAATTACTTTATTGGCAAGCCAAAACATCCTGTGGGAATTCTTGAAAGSTATCTTTGTACAACCTTCATGGGAACACTTAACCCAGCCATGATTAGAGATTTGTACATGGGTTTGGGGTCTGTTCTTTTCCCTGTATACTGGGTACAAGTGGTCAGTTTACAACAGCAGGGTGGGANTGTCTCTGAAGGAGCCGCAGCGAGGCATAGGTGAGGTGCGAGTGCAATAAAAGGTAAGGAATAAAATAAAATAAATAATATAAAAGTGCACTGACAGCTCCCAGCCTCCCTATGTTAACGAAGGAGCTGCAGAATCCACAAAGCCCAGAAAATCGTTCCCGGGCACTAAAAACCCTTTTCAGGAAGGTTTTATGCCGTGACACTCCAAGCTCAGCGGCACTGAGCGAGGATTGCAGCAGCGGGGGAAGCGCTGGAGAGAAATGTGGAGCAAAGGAGAGGGTTTGGGGTCTCCCGGAGCGGATCGGAGTGGGACAGGGAAGCGCGATCAGACATGGCCATCCAGCACTGCCTGAGGATCCTGGCAGTTGTTAGGGGCCAGGTCTGGAGGGGAGGAGGATCAGCATTTACAGGTCTCTTCAGGCGGGGACAGTCCCCACTGGACTCGCCTGGGACACTTTTGAACCTGTCACTGACCCCATGAGGGTCCATGTCCTCACATTTCCCTCAGAGGGTCACTCTGACTTTTCTTCTGGAGAGAAACCTCACAACAGGCTCGGGTCACAGCAGGAAACCTCACAACAACTCTGGACCACGGTGGTCACAACAGCCGAGGACTCCCAGCTGTGATGGCAATTTCCTGTCACAGCCCAGCTCTGAGGTGGCGACTGAGGCTCTTGTGATTGGTGCCTCGGGGCGGACTCAAATGAAAGGGCCCAGAAGGATGGGTTTACATAAGAATATAAGAAATGTTTATATAAAGCACGAGCCTCGCGGAGCTTTGCAGCCAGGGAAACACAATTTGAGGGGTTTTGCTCTCTGACGTGGTTCAAACACAGCAGAGAGCAGAGCCAGGAAACGCCTCCGTCCATTTGTGCAGGGGTTGCTGTGCCGCGACAGCAGCACCGGCTCCCACATCCTGCCCGCGCTGGCTCCCACATGCCCAACCAGACTCCCACATCCTGCCCGAGCGGCTCCAGGTCAGAATTTGGCGGCTTCTCTCTGACAGATCCACTGCAACTCCGTGTTACACTCCTGAGAGACGATGCTGCTGCCCCTGATCGTCCCACAGAATCCAGGTGTCTCCCTGGGATCCAGGTGGAACCTGCAGATGCAGAGGGAGCCCGGGTCACACCTAGGGTCTCTTGGCCACTCCCGACCCCCAGCCCTCCCCCAGTGCTCACCGGTGCCGGTCCAGGCGGGAGCCGTTCAACCACGTCCAGCCCACCCTGGCCGATGGCACCCAGAGCCCGACCCAGAAGCGGCGCCCGGGTTTCTGCAGGGTTTCATTGAGGACTTCCTGGCATGGGGGAAGGAGAAGCGGTGATGCTGACAGGACATGGATGGTCACCCTAAAGAGACTCTGTCCTCATCCCAGAACTGAGCCCCATCCATGCTCCCCATGTCAGAGGCACCTGGGGGTCTTGGACACAGGGTGGGGGCTGATCCCCGGATTCTAGGAACCCCCTCACCCTTCCAGGGGGCCACCACCAGCCTACAACCCATGTTCTTCCTACATTCCCATCCCCAGCATTCCCTCACCAGCTCATCCCGATCCCACGGCAGCAGCAGCTTGGCCCCTCGATCCCCGCAGTCCTCCTGGCTCCTGTTCCAAGAGCCGTATCCAGTGGAGACCCAGTAGCACTTGGTCCCTCCCAGCATCCAGCCCTGGGGGCAGATTCTGCATCCCTCAGCCCCTGAAAAATGGGATCACCAAGATGCCACCTCATCCCTGGAGACACCCTGGGCTGTGCTTGGGGCTCCAATCTGGGTATGCTACAATAATTTGGGAAAGCTTTTAGGGCTGAGATGCCTCCAGGCTCTTACCTGGTGGCTGTGGTGGGCAGAGTACTTCTCTGAGCTGCCGGAAAACTTCTCTGAGCTCCAAAAGCTCACGCTCCCGGGTGCTGTTGCCATCTCCTGTGTTCCAGCTCCCGATTCTGCAGCTTCCCGGACTCTCCAGCTGCCGCTGGAGACCTGAAGGGGAAGGGATGGTGAGCAGAGGACAGCACCTGGCCCAGCCCGGCCCCTTTTGGGACGTCTCTGTATCCTTGAGTTCCCCCCGTACAGGAGCTGTCCCCACCATGGTGGCTTTGTGCCGGTGACAGGATGTGGCCCCCCCGAGGTGTCACCGTGTCTCGGGTGCCATCGCAGAGAGCCCCGGAGCCTCTGCCCCCCCTYCTGCAGCCCCGAGGGGCCCGACCCCAGGCTGGGGGGGCTGCTCAGAGCCCCCTGCCCGCCTCGGGAACAGCTCGCAGCCGTTTATTTGGGGGGGTTTCCCCAGCCCTGCCCCTCTGGGGGTCTCCCCAGGATCCCGCAGACATTGGGGGCTCCCNCCCAGCCATGATTAGAGATTTGTACATGGGTTTGGGGTCTGTTCTTTTCCCTGTATACTGGGTACAAGTGGTCAGTTTACAACAGCAGGGTGGGAGATACAATCCATTTCAGGAGACAACATCCATTCCCAGACACTTTTCCATACAAATGTACCTCCTGTTCTGCTTAGGCAATTGTTGTAGTTTGAGCCCTGGCTGAACCCCAAAAGCACCCACGACAGTTCCCCCCCACCCCTGGAGAGGCAGAGGGGAGAGCAAAAGCCCAGTTAACACCAAGATTTATGGCTTTTAGATAAGATAACAGATTGAGAGAAAGATTTTCATGCTCCATGAAATGGTCAAACAGGCTGGAAAACTTAAGTTGCAAAATAGATTTATTACTAAAAACTACTAAGAATGCTACTGCGTGAGGGGTGGCGGGGGACAAAAAGGCAAAAGGCAAATTTACGAGGAGGGAAAAAACTGGACATTTTAAGACACCCATTTTCTCTCTGCGAACCTGTTTCTTTCTCAGTTCGCTCCTCCCCATCCCTCCAATGCCTTCCCACATGCGAGGGGGGCAGGGAAATTAGTGTTTTATGGCCAGTCCATCTCTACCATTGTTGTCCAGCACCATAGGAGAAGAGTTCTCATCCAGCTCCCAAGAGCAGCCAGTGTACCACTGCTGGTGGCATGGGATTCTTTTCTTTGTCTCGTGGGAGAAAAGGGAAACAATCCTCCAAGGCTAACTTCATTCTGGGAGCAAGGCCTCTCTCTCAAATCTCCTGGCAAAACACAGTTTTCTTCTAAGCATCAACTCGCTTGAGACATGAGGGGGAGGGGGGCCTCTTCCTTCTGGGCTTAGGATCAGTCCAGTCCTCCAAGGCCATGTTGTTTGTCTCGGGTGCAGGGCCTTTCTCTCTCCACATCTTCCAATGAAGAACAGTCATCTTGAGAACAGATTGTTTTCTCCATGGTTAAGCACCTGTCTTCTCTGCCTCTCTCTGACCTCGTGTCTGCATTTTTTCCCACATCTCCTCACCTACCCCCTTCATCCTCCCCTGGTGCAGGGGTTGATAGTAACAACCTAAGAACTAAAGGCAGCTGCAACCATCTTGTTTTGAATTCTTCTTAAATATAAGACCAAATGTCATCACATAGGTGTAAATATCCTGTGCAATTGGCCCAGGCTTGACCAGCAGCCTGTCCATCATCCTTTGGAGCCATAATGGATTGGCCCTAAAACATAGGCTCCTTTTGCTAGAGAAGAAGTAGAAAACTTCAAGAACTTTCTCACAGGAGCCATCTTTGTGGTTTCTTGGTCTCATCCCCCACCACCAAAAAACTGGACTTAGTAATAGCAATAAATGCCTTTTTTGGAAAAATGAAGTCTCCATGGACTTGCTTGTTTGTCCCCAAGTCCTGCAGGTCCCATTATGGACCTCAGTTTGGGTGCTGACCCAAGATAAGGATTCCACTGGGCCACCCATGACCATTCTGGCCCTCCTGACCCAGCAATTGCTAAGGTTGAAATTTTTTTTTCTACTTTTCCTAAGACTAAAAATCAGTTTTCCCACCCTGGGTCCAAATGGCTGATATAAAATACAATATAAAAGTAAGGGTGAGTGACTGGCAGCCCCATAAAGCACCATTCAAATCGAGTACTGCCTAATACTGATGTGAAGTGATCTGATTGAGCATGGTGTAAGGATCCAGAACCATGGGATGCCTTGGTTTGACAATTTCATTTATTCTTCTTAAATCCTGTACCATTCTGTAGGTTCTATCTGTTTTCTTGTCTGGCAGGACTGGAGTGTTGTAGGGGGACATCCCTGGCTCTAAAAGCCCTGCCTTTAACAGGARCTCAGGAACAGGCTGTAGCCCCTTCACTTGGAATAGGGTTATTGCTTTGAGATACAACTTGTTCTGGTTGTTTCAAAGTAATTTGGAGAGGATCCATATCTAATTTTCCCTATTACCCTGGAACTTCCCACACTTCTAGGTTCACTTTAGTGTAGCCTTCCCAGAAATTTTACACAATTACAACAGCATTAGCCATTGTATCACCTTTTACAGTATTAATTTGCATTTCCAGTTTAGCTACCAAATCCCTTCYCACTAAATTACAATCACATTTAAGAACACAAATTCCTGCCATTTAAAACCTATCCTCCACACTACATACRTATCATAATAGTGGTTGAATAAAACCTGCTCATTTTCCTCACTTACCACCTGTATAAATAGAGAACTTCTTGACAATTTCTTCCCTTAGATTTAAGATTCAAAGTGGACCAAGGCCCCTGTGTCTATCAGGAATCACCTCCTCTCAATCCAGACCCACCCTGAATATTCTCAAGCTCCAATGTGGTGAGTCTCTGTTATAATGGGAGCTCTGCCACACCTAACAATCCTCCTGTCCATCCGTGAGGGGCTCATGGCGGGGGGGTTCCTTCCACCCAACAGCCGGTGCTGTGGTGTCCATGGAGCAGAGAGGGGTGTAAAAGGGAGTCTGGAGTGGGAGGAAGGAGACAGAGGAGTCCTGGAGGAGGAGGACAGGGGAGGAGGTCGAGCAGGAACAGGAGGAACAGGAAGAGGACACGCAGGAGAAGGAGCAGAAGGAGTAGCATGAGGTTTGCCGTGAGGTCTGCAGCACATGTGGGCCCAGGAGCATTGCCCCACCTGCATCCTACATGTGACCAGGGAGGGGCAGCTCACCCCATATATATCAGGGGGRCCCCAAGAGGGTTTATTGTAGGCGAGTATTTGGAGCTCACAGGCTCTGGAATCAAGCCCCAAATATCTTTATGGGTGTCTGGGATATTTCTTTTTTGGGGAGAGGGAGGAGCTTGAATCTTGCAGGACCCCAAAGCTGAGTCTCAAATACCCCTTTGGGTATCCATGTAGTGATCACCTGGTGCCAGGGCAGGGAGGGACATTGGTCTTGGAGACAACCTGGGAGAGCAGTGGAGGGGAACCCTGGGACCGCTGGAGTGGGGGATGTGGAGAGGGGCAGTACTGGAGCTGGGGGATCTCCAGCAGTCTGAAGATAGGAGGGAACCTGGAGAGGGAGGACCCCTGGGATCCCTAGAACTGAGGAGCAGAGAGTCCAGGGAGTAGGAACCCTTGGAACCCCCAAAACCTCATAGCATTGCTAAGCAGGACTTTGGAGACTGGGGACCCCTGGAGCAACAGGACCCCCATCAGCCCAGGAAAGGATGACCATCAGAACCCCAGTGTGGAGAGACAAGAGAGGAGAATTCTTAGGAGGGTTTTTTTCAGCTGAATCCTGGTAGTCTGGAGGTTTTTAGACACAAAATGCCAGGTGGTGTCCTGAGATGAACTTGGGTGGGAGGAACCCCCAGCCAAAGGCGCTCACCCCTTATTTTTCCCTCCAAAACAGGATTTGTCATTCCCAAGCTGTGACCAGATGGAGGAGGAGGCTGGGAGGAAGAGGAAGACACCCCGGGACACCCAGGCAGGTGAGGAGGAAATCACTGCCCATTTCCCCCTCTCTTCTGCTCCATCTCCCAATCCAGCATCACCCCTGTCTGCAGGACAGCCCTCTGACCGGCACCATCCTGCTGGGAACAGACTGGGGAGATCTCCTTCCCCTTCCCTCTGGCACGGAGGCAAATCCCATCCTCTCCTTGTTCTTTCTCCTCCAGGCACTGAGATGAGGACAGAGACTGGGGAGGCCAAATCCCTGTGGCAGAACCTTGTGGAAGAGGCCATTTCAAGCAGCTCCACGGCRCAGGAATTCTACAGGGAGGAAAAYCCCTGGAAATTTCGCACGAGGARGGGCTGCAAACCCAGCCCAGGGAGCTCTGAGGAGAGACCCCAACTGTGCAGGAAAGGCGGCTGGAGATTCAGTCAGAGCTCAGAGCTGGTGGAGAAGCCTCATGCTGGGAAGAAGCGCTACAAGTGTTCAGGATGTGGGAAGAGCTTCAGCACGAGCACCCTCCTGATGGATCACCAGAACATCCACACTGGAGAACGGCCCTACGAGTGYGGGAAATGTGGGAAAAGCTTCAGCTGGAACTCCGGCCTCATCAACCACCAGAGGATTCACACAGGGGAACGYCCCTACAAGTGCWTGGAATGTGGGAAGAGCTTCAGCCGGAGCTGCACCCTGGTGAACCACCAGATGATCCACACTGGGGAGCGGCCCTACGAGTGCATGGAATGTGGGAAGAGCTTCATGCAGAGCTCCCAGCTGATGAAACACCAGCTGATCCATACCGGAGAACGGCCCTATGAGTGCTGGGGGTGCAGGAAGAGCTTCAAACGGAGCTACCAGCTCATCAAGCACCAGCGCATCCACACTGAGGAACAGCCCTACAGGTGTTTGGAATGTGGGAACTGCTTCAGCAGCAGGAAAAATCTCATCAAACACCAGGTGATCCACTCTGGGGAAGGGCCCTATGAGTGCTTGGAATGTGGGAAGAGCTTCAGTTGGAGATCCAACCTCATCAAACACCGTAAGATCCACAGTGGGGAACGGCCCCATGAGTGCTCTGAATGTGGGAAAAACTTCAGGTGGAGTTTCCAGCTCATCACCCACCAGCGCATCCACACTGGGGAACGGCCCTATGAGTGTCCCAAGTGTGGGAAGAGGTTTCGAACAACCACAGAACTCCTCCAACATGAGCAAACACACACAGGGGAAAGGCCCTTCCGTTGCCCCGACTGTGGGAAGGGCTTCAACCGCAACTTCAACCTCCTTACCCACCGGCGCATCCACACCGGGGAGAGGCCCCACAAGTGTCCCAAATGTGAGAAAAGCTTCTCCTGGAGGTCATCCTTGATGAAACACCAACAGAGCCACCAGTAAGGGAAGCCCTTTCTTTGATTGCCCAAGTGTGGGAAGAGCTTTATGCGCTGCTCCAACTTCATCCCCCATGGATGGATCCATATTGGATGATCCACAGTGATCCACATTAAGCCTGTTTTGAGTGATCCACTCTGGGTGGGGGGACGGTCTTTGAGTGTTTTCTTTCACTTCTCCATCTCTTGCTGTGATTTGGTTGGGAATARATTCAATCCCTGTCCCCATGCTGGATCTGTTTTAGCTATGCTGGTGATGGGGGAGGGATCTCTCCTGGTCCTTCTCTCAACTCCTGAGTCTTTCCTTGTATTTCCTTTTCCTGTCCAGTTGCACAGGGCAGGGACAGAGTGGTTTTGGTGGCTCCCGGCACGCAGGCAGGGCCAGCATAGCCCCAGGGGTTCTGAAGGATTTGTGGGGGTCCCCTGTTTGTGGGACATCTCCACTGGAGGAGGGTGTCTCCCCTCATTGCAGCCCCAGCCCTCAGGCAATGCTCAGCCAAGCAGAGAATGCCCTCACCTGGGGCCTCATTTCTGGGCACACGTGGCCCCAGACATCTCAATCCTCATTCTGGGGTGTATCTGAGCTCTAAGGCATCTGGCACCCAACACTAGAGTGTAACTGAGTTCCTGCACATCTCGATCCGCATTTTTTGGGTGCGCCTCAGCTCCTGGATATCTGGGAGCCCATTTTTTGGCCTTTATTGGGTTTGCATGTGTCCTGGTTTTGCTCGGTCTGGTTTTTGGTGGTGGGGGATGGGACCAAGAAGCCACAAAGATGGCTCCTGTGAGAAAGTTCTTGAAGTTTTCTCCTTCTTCTCCAGCAAAAGGAGCCTTGCCTCCTGTGTTTTAGAACCAATCCATTATGGTTCTGAGGTTGATGGACAGGCTGCTGGTCAAGCCTGGGCCAATTGCACATGCTAGTTACTCCTCTGTGATGATGTATGGTCTTGTACTTAAGAAGAATTCAAAACAAGATAGTTTGCAGTTGCCATTAGTTTTTATGTTGTTAGTCTCATCCCCTGCACGGGGGGAGGACAGGGGAGGAGGGTGAGGAGATATAAGAAAAAAAATGGAGACCCAAGATCACCGTAAGGAAGAGAAAGAAGTGTGCTTCTTGTTGTGGTGCTCAACTRTGGGAAAAGAATTTTCTTGAAATGACTGTTTCTTCAATGGGAGACCTGTATAGAAAAAAAGGCCCTGCACCCGAGATGAACAACATGGCCTTTGAGGACTGGATTGATCATAAGCCAAAAAGGGRGAAGAGGTGSCCCCCCCCACCACCACCATGTCTGAAGCGTGTTGATGCTTAGAAGAAACTGTGTTCTGYCAGGAGATTTGAGAGTGTGGCCTTGTCCTCAGACTGAAGCATGCTGGCTTTGGAGGACTGTTTYCCTTTTTTCCTRTGAGKTAARGAAAAGAATCCCATGCCAYCAGCAGTTATACACTGACTGTTCTTGGGATRAAGAACTTCCACAGCTTGGAGCTGTAAGAACTCTTCTCCTATAGTACTGGATGATAACTGTAATGAGTAGTCTGATCTGTGTTAAAACTCATTTCCCTGCCCCCTTGCACTGTGAAGCATGGAGGGGTGGGGAAGGGTGACCTGGGAGAGGCAGGTTCACAGAGAGTAACAGGTGTCTTAAAATGTCCATTTGTTTTCTTTTAAATTTTTCCCTGTCTTTTGTTCCCCTCCCCCCGGTGCGGTAGTATTGTTAGTAGTTCTTAGTAATAAATCTATTTTGGAACTTAAGATTTTTTTGAGCCTTTTTGACTATGTTTGAAGCACTTAAATCTTTCTCTCAATTATGTTATCTTATCTAGAAGCCATAMATTTTGTTGCTCTCCTCTCTGCCTCTCCGGTGGGAGCGGGGGGAACATCGTGGGTGCTTTGGCTTTYGGCCAAGTTCAAACCACGACAGCATGACCTGATTTCAGTAGCGGGGTGGGGGCTGCAGGGGWGGCTTCTGTGAGAAGCTGCCAGAAGCCTCCTTCATGTCYGGCAGAGCCAATCCCTGGTGGCTYCAAARACAGAGGTGCTGGATGCAGAAATTCATGGGGATGCAGTGTTTCATGGAGATGCAGAGATCTACCTGCAGCCCCTGGAGGAGCCCCTGCCAGAGCAGGGTGATGCCTTAGAGGAGGCACTGACCCCATGGGAGACCCATGGACAGAGGGGCCACCCTGTGGCAGTGACCCACTGGAGTGATTTATGATGATAGTCTATTCCATTATCCTCTTCTTTATGCCCAAAAATGGTTGTTCTGTCTGTAAGGCCCGGGACCGCCTGCATTTGGTGCTGGAGAGGGAGGGAGCTTTAGGCTTTTTGGAAGGCATTTTCAAAGCCTCATGGCCCAGGTGTTCCATGGCACAGTGTGGTTTGGTTTTGCTTGTCTAGCTTGGATTCATTGGCCCAGGCAAAAACCTTTTCCCTCCCCTGGCTTGGAGAAGCTGCATTCTTTCAGTCTTTCTCTCCCTGAGTAGCGAGAGAAGTCCAGGGGGAGGAAGTGACCATGGCTCCCATTCCTGACACTCCCTGCACTCTTGGGGGGAAGGAGGGAGGCGTGGGGGAAGGTGTTTTGAAGGTTCTTCTTCTCATTCTCCTGCTCTAATTTTGTCAGTGTAATCAGTTCAGTTAATGTCTCTAATTAGAGCCAGTTTTGCCCGTGATGGTGTTKKGTGAGGGATTTCTTCTGGTCCTTACGTCAACCCGGGAACCCTTGGTTCAGTTTTCTCCCCTATATGGCTACAGGGAGCAGGGATAGAATGTCTTTGGTGGGTGCCTGGCATTGGGTCAGCATCACCTCTTACCATGGACACACCTGAAATCCAGCATACCTGGACGCCCCATTTTTGGGCACAACTGAGTTCCCACCTACCCAGCACCCCAAGGATCCCCCATAAAACCCCTACCCGGGGCTACAGTGTCCCTAAAAGCCCTCAGTCAATCTGCAGCCAATCAGACCACGATGAATGAATGGTGCATCACTTGCCAGGAGGAGCCTCAGGAAAAGGGTCCCAAACTGCCCTCAGCCAATCAGAGCACGCAGCACTGCTGACCCCACTGGTCCAGACTGGTGCTCCCAAGACAGTGTGGCTGCTTTGGGGTGTCAGCACCTGCCCAGCACTGGCCATGGGGCGTGTGGCAGCMCTGGGGCCGTACTGGKRRCACTGGTGATGTTGGAGCCTCCSTGGCTGCAGGAGCAGAGCTCTTATGTGAGTGGAGGGGTTTGGGGGGCAGGACACAGTGAGAAATGGGGAGAAGGGGAAAAGGATATGGTGGGACCCCCAAACTGAGTTGAGGGAAAGTGAGATCCCCAAAGGAAGTGCAGGAAAGGAGCTGAGGATTGGGAGAAGATGAGAAAGGTGAGGGAGGGTGGAGAAGTGGGGAAAAGTGGAGGTTGGGACCCCAAAACTGAGCATGAGGGGGCTGTGGATTTGAGGAATTGTGTGAAAAGTGGTGGGAAAGGGGGGAAAGCTGAGACTGGGACCCCCAAACTAATGTGGGGGCAGCTGGCAATGGGTGGTGCAATGGGAAAGGATGGGGCTAAATAGGGAGAAGGAATGAAAAGAGGAAGTGGGACTTGAGGGCAAGAGGGTCCCATGGTGGCCGTGGGGCACAGGGGTGTGGATTGGGGATCTGGGTTGGCCCCCAGACATCTTGGCTTGCTGGGGGTGCTGGGGGGACACCCCTTGTCCTGTCCCTGCACACACAGGGGTGTTCCAGTTCCGGATAAAGCACTAGTGTCACTTCATTAATGGCAACAACCAAGCAAGGTTCGTAGAGAAGCTCATCTATAACCAGTACACAATCTTCAACACAATGTCGAGCTGTTTGTGGGGGATGCCCCATATGGGGAAAAGATTGCCAGGTACTGGAGCCCTTACTCGGAATACATGGAGTGAAAATGGGCTGAGATGGACAGGCAGTGCCTAGTCCAACTGTGGTGTTCAGTGTGGACTGCAGAGGTGAGCGTGGGGCAGTGTGTCCCCTTGGCCCCTCCCCTGGGAATGACCCTGGAGCCCCTCAAAACTTCTCTGGGAAAAACACCAGTGTCCCCAGACCTCTTTGTACCCATGCCTGTAGTCTTTTGCCCCCTCCCAGTGTCCCAGGGCTCTCTGACTTCATCCTAGTCTCCCAGTGTCCTCCCAATCCATCCCAGACCCTCCCAATCCTTCCCACTACCTCTGCCAGTCCATTCCCAGTCCATTCTCAATCCCTCCCAGATGTTTGCCTTTTCTCTCTGTGCCCTCCCACCCCCACAGCCCTCTACCCTCTCTCTTTCCAAGCATTCCCTCCCTGTCCATTCCCAGTCCCTCTCAATGCCACACCAGCCTTCCCCACTCTCTCCCAGTGCCCCCCAGTGTGTCCACCTCACTGGTGCCCTTGAGCTCCCAGCCTGGCCCCAGCCAGCTGCTTTGCTCTGTGCTGGATTTCTACCCTGCCCGGGTGCAGCTGAGGTGGTTCCAGGGCCAGCAGGAGCTGTCAAGGCATGTGGTGGCCACCAATGTTGTCCCTGATGGGGAATGGACCCAGCAGCTCCTGGTGCTGCTGGAAACCAACCCGGGCATGGGGTCACCTCCCCTGCCTGGTGGAGCACATCAGCCTGGAGCAGCCCCTGAGCTGGAACTGGGGTAGACTCTGGCCCCCACTGTGCCCAGGGGAATAGGGGAGTGTGTCAGGGACCAAAGATGTGTCTAAGGCCCTGCCATATTTGGTCCGCTGTTGTGCACGTCAACAAGATACTGTAGAAAAAGATCTTATTGTTAGTTGGTAGGATTCTAACCTTCAAAAATGAAGCTATGTATCGGTCACCTGGTGGGATTCATCCT